CGGCCCAGGCGAGGGGTGGGGGCTGCGGGGGGGCCGTGGTGCAGCGCCCACCACCCCGCGGGCGCCTCCGCCGCCCGCGGGAAGACCGAGGCGAAGACCACCCCCCAGTCCGACAGGCTGCCCCCGCCCACCCCCTGGTGCTGGGGGAAAGGCGTGTAGTTGAAGATCACCTCGTGGCTGCGGATGGTGCTGACCTCCTCGGGGTTGATCCCGGACACCTTCGGCTCGTCGAGGCTGAGGGGCTCGCGAAAGGGCCGGCGCACGACGTAGCGCTGATCCCGCGGCGGGTTCCACCACGAGGGGTACTTCTCAAAGGGCGAGTAGATGGCGTCGGGGCCGCAAAGGAGAAAGCGACCGTAGTCGAGCTCGGATAATAGGCCGCCGGGATAACTCGAAGGGAGCGTCTCATCCCCTTGTTCAATGATTACCACGGAAGGAGGGGAGTCGCTGGAGGTGGGCGCGCTTTCGAGCAGCTCGCGGGCCGCGGCGAGGCCGGCAGGACCGGCTCCAATAATAACATAATCCACCTCTTTAGGGAGGTTATCGAAAGTGAGAATTTCATAGGCGGGGCGGCGATTGTAAGGAGACTTCAGGCGATAGCGCCAACGCAGAATGGCAATCCATAGAATAAAGGTCACTGTTAATAAGGCATATGTGTACATGAGAAGTCAAGGTTAAGATATCTACTGATGCAAAAAAATAAATAAAGGGAATCTTATTGTTCTGCGGTGTTGGTTCTTCTTTTAAAATCGCAAAGAACTGTTAAATGTGAAAATAATCCTTTATTACGCTTAATAGAAGTATTATGATTATACAAGTTTTTTTTAATATCGCAGATTCATCAGAATCTTGGAAACAAATTCGTCAGATTGATATCGTACAAAACATGATCACCACGTAGCCAATTAGTCAAAACGCCAACAAACGCCTGTAAAATTATATATTTTTTTAAAATAAATTCGATTTTTTCGCAAATAATTACTATGCGGTAGCTTGGTAAGCTACAGACATAGAAAAAATATATACATTTATATATTTATATATAGATGTACGTTTTTGTTTTTGACTAAGCCATATAAAATCATGCAACGTCTAAAATTCGGAAAATGAAGCAAGAACTGAAAGTGCAAAAACAATTCTCGATGTACAGAACACTTTTTTTTACTTAAAATACAGTGTGGAGTTCTCGATCTATATGTACAAATAAAGCACCCCTTCGACCAACCTTTTCTGTTGAGATAATAAAAATTGGCGTTCACCCCCTTGAGTTATTCCAACCCCCAACCTTGAATGATTGAATATCTGATTGAAAAATGGAGTAGGCATTTTATTGTGTAGTTAAGCATTTTGTTCATAAAGAACAAAGCAATGCGTTTAACAATACTTCGCTATGCAAACATTAAAATGCCATTTGAAAGAATAAAATAGCAGTATCGATATGCAAAGTAATTTCTCTTGGAAAAAAAATAGGTTAATAAATAGTGAAAAATTATGACCAGATTTCCCCCCCTCCCCCTCCCCGACAGTATTTGATTGATTTATCTATTATTTTCAAGAATTCGAATAATGGAAATAGCATGAAACGGAAAACAATTATGTACAAATAATGACATATTTATCTGAAAAGAGGAGTGCCGATAGATTGAACGTCACATATCGTATCTAGACAATGCTTAAAACAACTCAAATAAAAATGCAAAAAAAATGATTCCCATAAAAAGAAATCTCACCTTAACTTTATACACTTTATGGTATGAAAAATTATTCGTCTCCGCTTTTTAAAAATTCGTTATGACTTACCCGCATCGGATTTAAGACTTGAGGGATAGCTAGAGCTCCTAAAGCCATCATTCTCTTCACCAAATTTGAAGCTTCGCAGGCATTCTTGATACTCTTCGTCTGGGATATCATCCAGCTGAGCGGAGTAGATCTCGCCGACGTCTACCTGATGCCGACTTAAGGTTAAACTGTGAAAATTATGATCGTTGGAGTGCTCGGAAAGCTCCGCGAGGGAGCGGCGGTGGGCAGCTAAAAGCTCTTGTGGCGTCATACCTGGGATGTTTGACCTAGAGTTTATCATGTTGGAGGGCATCTCGTCATCGTAGTTGATCCCGTAGTCATCAATATCTGCCAGCTTGGGGAAAGTTGCCGCAACAAAAGGAAGGTCGGTTTCGTCCTTTTCGAGCTTATTGGTATTCTTTTTATTGGATTTGGCTTTATCTAAGGACATAGTAACAATATTAATAATAATAATGGAAAAATTTTATCGCCCTTTCTTTTAAAAGAAACTATGCTATGTCCAATCTCGCTTTAGTAATACAAACCGTGAATAAGTGATTTCTTTTGTATGATAAAAGGATTTTCTAAAATTCTCCTATTTAAAAAAATTCCAAGAAGGGATGAGATACAATGGAGAAAGCTTTTTAATAACATAATAATAAAGTTAAAACATAATAAAGCAGACCTTAGGCAAACTATAGAAGTTAACTTTAAGATACACACACGATAATGGTTTATAATAATGAAAAGGCTGATATTCAATAAAAATTACACAAGAAAATTAAAGAAATGCCTTCCATATCACTACTTTCGCCAAAAAAGTAAGACGTGATCGTAGCCAAACAAAAGATATAAAAAGTGATGAATAACGCCTTAGCTTAAAGGAATACTAGCAAATGAGAAAGAAGTTAACATCAAAGTTGATCTTGTTACGCTTCTGGATGCGCTGACAAACGTAAAATAGAGATGCGCTAGGAAGAGAGGGATTGAAAAGGTATTTTGTGCTAGCTCATTTCAAGAGTGTAAATTTAAAAGAAATCAATCTTGAGGCTGCTATTTCAGCAAAAGATACCAAGTTGGCAGATCTCCATTTCTTCTTAAATTTAATTCCACTTTTAATCCACTAAAGCTATCACCTAGTACACATCCACTAAATGACTATTTCACCTACATATATATATATATATATATAACTAATTTAATTATGGAAAGATAACAACTTGATTGAAATGTGTAATGACCTTTCCATAACGAAGAGTACGTAGTGTACAAATTTTTTAAAAGGAAAAAAACAGACTAATAGGGTAGATTATGTATTGTTCAATTGAACTCCATTAAAAAGGATCTTTTTAACAGTCTTACACTACCCTGATATATTTATCATCACCAAAAAAGATTTTCCTTTTGTTTCCAGATTAATATGTTTTGATATAAATAAATAATTACACGCAAAAAAAGAGCAAACTACCCTCCCCTCCTTAGCCCTCAGTATTTCTAAGTATCCAAGCTTATTACCTTGAATTTTATGGTGGGCTGCTGATAGGTAGTTCCATACGCGGTTTGACTCTAGAATTCAACTTCTCCGAAAGCAATGTAATGCGATTCACGAGGTTTTTAATCTTCAGGCCGAGCTCAACAGCGGCGTCGTCCATGATGTAATGCCCGCAGCTATTGCCGAACACCTCCAGCTGAAATTTTCCCTGCATATGCGCGACTGTCAGGTACTTGTCAAGTCGCTCCGTGTTCGCCAGGCAGAGCATTTTGACCATTGTCAGGCTCACAAACGCCTTGTCAAGGTCATTAAACCACCCCTCCCAGACCTTACTCATTTTCAAAAGATTCGTCCGCCAGACAAACAAACCTGTTAGAGGATCTTTTCTAAGAAGAGGGGGCACCGAGAGGGCAGCGCCGTCCGCCGTGTGCATGCCACCATGCTGCAAAAACCATGTCTGAGCGTCCTTTTCAGTGGTGAAGGTCGTTGGCCGCCTGGCGAGGAAATCGGGCATGAACCGCAACGACTCCTTCGCCGTCCCCTCGACGACGTCAACGAGGATCACCCCGGGGACGCGCTCCGCGAGGGGCCTCGCCGTGGCCCGCGCGAGCCCCTTCGCGACGATGGCGCCGCCGAGGGAATGCCCGAGGACGTAGAGCGGGGCGCGAGGGAAGAGCTCGCGCGCGAGGTAGCCCAGGAGCTCGAGGAAATCGTCG